TTATATATATATATATATATATATATAATATATATATATATATATATATATATATATATATATATATATATATATATATATATATATATATATATATATATATATATATATATATATATATATATATATATATATATATATATATATATATATATATATATATATATATATATATATATATATATATATATATTATATATATATATATATATATATATATATATATATATATATATATATATATATATATATATATATATATATGTATATATATATATATGTATATATATAATATTATATAATATATATATATATATATATATATATATATATATATATATATATATATATATATATATATATGTATATATATATATATATATATATATATATATATATATATATATATTCAAATTGGTCATTCTGCATCAACTCATTTTTCTCTCGATATGATGCTTCTATTTCCTTTATCTCCCTCCCCCTCTTCATTCGCCTTTCCTTAAACCCTCCTTCACCCTTGAAATTCCTTGAACCCATTAAATTGCTAAGTTGACTCTGTCCTTAGAGGGCCGCGAGGGATCCCTCCTGAAATTCTCTTCATTGCAGGCTTGCATGTGGCTGCGGGACTGGACGCGGCGTCGCTTCGGCCTCTGCCCGACGTGGATATCTGCCTTATTGGTGAGCGGCGTCGAGGAAGCGACGGTCGAGGGGGCGAGCCGGGTCGTCGCGGCGCTGCAGCCTCCGAATGGGTATGGAGTCTGGCTCGGGTTTTGTTGGAGGTGTGGGCGGAGGAGATGGGTTGGTTTTGTTGCTAGGAGAGAGAATGAGAGAGAGAGAGGTAGAGACAGTGAGAGGTAGAGAAATTGAGCCAGTGAGAGAAAGTGAGCATTGTGAGAGAGCAAGAAAGTGAGCCAAGAGAGTGAGCCATTGAGCCCCAGATGAGCCATTGAGAGAGAGTGAGCCATTGAGAGAGAGGAAGAAAGTGAGCCCCCTTGAGCCAGAGTGAAGAGTGAGCCCGAGCCAGTGAGTGAGAGGAAGTGACCCAATGAGTGAAAGGAAGAAAGTGAGCCAGTGAGAGAAAGAGAGCCAGTTAGAGAGAAGCCGGTTAGTGATAGAAAGAGAACCAGTTAGTGAGAGAAAGAGACTTCGTTATTGAGAGAGAAAGTGAGCTAGCTAGTGAGACAAAATTATCCATTTAGAGAAAAAGAGAAAGGGTGAGACAAAATGAGCCAGTGAGAGAGAGTGAGGAATTGAGCGATGGAAAGTGTAGCAATGAGAGAGAAAGAGAAAGTGAGCCAATGAAAGAGAAGGAAAGAGAGAGCCAGTAAGTGTGAGGAAGAATGCGAGCCAGTGAGAGAGAAAGTGAAAGAGTTACGAAGAGAGAATGAGCCAGTTAGAGAGAGAAAAAAAGTGCACCAGTTAGAGATAGAGAGAGA